GCAGCGCAAGCATGGCACCCAGCTACACTCAGGAGCAGTATGACAGGGAGTTTACCATGCGGCTGGCTTTCTTTGGACCCAACCCCCCGGAGAAATACGTGCAGTTTGTAAGGAGCCAGGTAGACGAGTACCTGGAGTTCATGGCAGATCCAGCCAAAGGTATCAGCCGCCCTATCCGGAGGCAGAGTGCGTTACGGGGACTCATAGGTGTGTCCCAGGGAGCAGAAGGTGTCGTCCTTCCTCCCCAGCGGCAGTGTGTACCCCAGGGAGCAGAAGGTGTCGTCCTTCCTCCCCAGCGGCAGTGTGTACCCCAGGGAGCTGAAGGTGTCGTCCTTCCTCCCCAGCGGCAGTGTGTACCCCAGGGAGCTGAAGGAATTGCCGTCCTTCCTCTAGCGGCAGTGTGTACCCCAGGGAGCAGAAGGTGTCTCCTTCCTCCCCAGCGGCAGTGTACCCAAGGGCAGAGGTGTAAGTCCTTCCTCCCCAGCTACGGCAGTGTGCCCCAGGGGAGCAGAAGGTGTGATCCTTCCTCCCCAGCGGCAGTGTGTACCCCAGGGGAGCTGAAGGTGTAGATCCTTCCTCCCCAAGCGGCGGTGTGTATCCAGGGAGCTGAAGGTGCGTCCTTCCTCCCCAGCTGACAGTGTGTACCCCAGGGAGCAGAAGGTGTCGTCCTTCCTCCCCAGCGGCAGTGTGTACCCCAGGGAGCTGAAGGTGTCGTCCTTCCTCCCCAGCGGCAGTGTGTACCCCAGGGAGCTAAAGGTGCCGTCCTTCCTCCCCAGCGACAGTGTGTACCCCAGGGAGCTAAAGGTGCCGTCCTTCCTCCCCAGCGGCAGTGTGTATCCCAGGGAGCAGAAGGTGCAGTCCTTCCTCCCCAGCGGCAGTGTGAGCTACAGGGAGCTGAAGGTGTCGTCCTTCCTCCCCAGCGGCAGTGTGTGTCCCAGGGAGCTGAAGGTGCCGTCCTTCCTCCCCAGCGGCAGTGTGTACCCCAGGGAGCTGAAGGTGCCGTCCTTCCTCCCAGCAGCGGCAGTGTGTACCCCAGGGAGCAGAAGGTGCCGTCCCTTCCTCCCCAGCAGCAGTGTGTGTCCCAGGGAGCTGAAGGTGCAGTCCTTCCTCCCCAGCGGCAGTGTGTACCCCAGGGAGCTGAAGGTGTCATCCTTCCTCCCCAGCGGCAGTGTGTGTCCCAGGGAGCTGAAGGTGGCGTCCTTCCGCCCCAGCGGCAGTGTGTACCCCAGGGAGCAGAAGGTGCCGTCCTTCCTCCCCAGCGGCAGTGTGTATCCCAGGGAGCTGAAGGTACCGTCCTTCCTCCCCAGCGGCAGTGTGTATCCCAGGGAGCTGAAGGTACCGTCCTTCCTCCCCAGCGGCAGTGTGTCCTGCAGGAAGCGGAGACAGTCGGTCTCGCTCCCCAGCAGCAGGACAATATATTAAAAGGGGAGACAGTTGGTCCCCCTCTCCAACAGCAGAGAGTGTTCCAGGGAGAGGAACCAGTTATCACCTCTCTCCAGCAACAGGATGAATTATTGAAAGGGGAGACAGTCGGTCTCCCCCTTCAACAGCAGAGAGTGTGTCAGGGAGAGGAGCTTGTTATCCCCTCTCCCCAGCGGCTGAAAGTATGTATGGGAGAGGAGCTTGTTACACCCTCTCTCCAGCGGCAGCCTAACCCAGCAAGGGGAGATGTTACACCCCCCAACAGTGCAAATGGGACCGTAGTCTCTGCACTTACAGCACAAGGGGTAGGGACAGTTGGTCCTGTTCCCCAGCCACAGAGCGGTGTATCCAGAGGGGAGACAGTCGGTCTCTCCCTCCCACAACCAGGCTCCCACCAGGCTACTTCCGTGGTAGCACTGGCATCAGGGCAGAGTACCGCTGGTCTCCGCCCACTCAGCAACCCACCAAGGCAGCCTAACAGTTGCCCACACAGTCGTGGTGAGGCACCTGGACATGGACAAAGTTCTCCTCTACCCAGGTGTAGTAACCAGTTATTGTGGGTGGGCTGTACTGCTGTTTCTGTTTTGTGGGTGGGTTGCTGGACTAACCAGGGCACTGACCGGCAGGAGGTCAGATACCCTGTTAGTCTAGTTGGTAAAGGGGAGAAGTGTGGCGAAACCAACCTCGCCACTGTGAACTGGAGAAGCCTGGTTGCTCGCCTGCTCCCTTTGGACTATGGCCCTGCAGGTTAAACCGTTTATTTCCCCTGCAGAAAGGCTTATTTGTGGGATCTGAGTGCCATTCATCTAATAATGTGCACTCAGATCCCAGCTAATCTGGGGATATGTGAAATGTCTGTGTGTTATGTGTAAAGGTGACTTTATGTATTTTAAAGTGTTTTGTGTCTTTTTGCAACCATGTGCTTAATGGAGTCTTGTGTCTGTCCTGGGAGATAATTGAATTACTTATCTCCAGGATAGAAGACTCTGAAACTGGTTTGGGCCAGAAAGCCATGCTTCATTTAGTCACAAAGGACTTTTTACTAACTTTTGAACCCCTTGTCTGATGTGTGCCATTTTTGAATATGTTGTTCCCCTGAATGGATTGATTGTGAATATGTAATTTTATGTGAATGTGATGTATGGTTTTGGAGTTATGAAAGTTGGGTAGAAAGTATGTTTTAACTGTATGTATAATTGAGTTTCCTCTCAGGATAAGGGGAGGGAATATGTGGGATGTAACTGTGATGTGATTGGTTGTTTTGTAACGCCCTGTGGGCTGTACTATGTTTTGTGGATTGTAATAAAAACCAGGCTGGGTGTGCCAGCACTGGAGATTCTGCTTAACCCTCAAAACGAAGTGTCGTCTCGTTATTGGGGGAATTGGATTGTGTGCTGACTGCCAGGAGTGTAAGCCGTTCGTATTGCTTTTCCTGTTCGGCTGCTTCCAGAGTTCGTGTATCTCTTGTTCGTGAGTTGGGGATTCGTACAGTTTGGAGTTCGGGAGGTTGGTGATTGCAATAGCTGCTGGTCTATGGGAAAGGGGATTATCGCCTAAACAGATTTTATCCCCTTGTGAGAGAAACGGTCCGTTACATGTCTGATTTTTTTTTCTCTTGATATTGTTGAAATCTTTTAAAACAAGTTTTTCAAATACTTCTAAAGGTCCTGATTTAAAATTGGATGGATAAAATTTGGATTGGGGCTTGAGGTTAGTATTTATTATAGTCAAGGTATTTGTTGTAGTTGAGATAGTGGTTGGGGTGGACTGTGTGGGAGTATTTGAGGGAGATATAGTATCTTTCCCCATAAAAAATCTTTTTAGAGTGGCCTTTCTTACAAATGTATTTACGTCCAGCAAGGCTTGAAATGGTTTAAAGGACGTGGTAGGTGCAAACTTAAGACCCTTGCTGAGTACTGCTAATTGCGTAGATGTGAGAGATATTTGAGATGGATTAAAAATTCCCCTTTCTTTTTCAGTTTTTTGGTTTTCTATTCTATTAGTTTTGGTTTTCTATTCTACTCATGTGTGAGAACCCTATCACTCGTCGATGCGTTGTACTTTATCGTCGGTTTACCTTGCTAGCCTGGTGGTTGAGTCCAGGAGGATACCTAAAGGTTAGCTGGGTGGAAGGCCCTATTATTTCCCGCCAGGTAGGGAAGACTCCTGATGAGGTGTATACTGCTGCAGTGTCGATGTTTTGAAGGGAACTGTTGGGAACCTCGACCTGGAGGAAATCATTGGGGTAGCATATTGCTACTGGGCTGTGATTCACGTATTTGGAAGTGCTCGCGTAGTGTTTTCGTGGACTTGTCTAATGTTCGGGGCTAATCTTGGCCCCAAATGTCCGACTCCTGACGAGATGGTACATACCTTCCTTTTGGAACTCTGTGACTGCCACGGAGATAATGTATAGGCAGCAACGTTCCGGCTTTGAGAATTCTCCCATGCATTAGTCTGTGGTGGCATATTGGAATAGGAATGCCTCTTCACACAACCAGTGAGGTCGTGTGAAGAGGCATTTCCAAAGGACCCGAACTTGTGTTACATGAATCCTCTATTTTGCTGCCAAGGAAAGCATCTAAAATACAAATGTGCCTGCGATTAGACCCAACGATGCGGAGAGAGGGTCGCACGTGGAATTGAGTAGACCCACTGAGGCCATGGTCATATCGTGGGGGGTCGGAATCGTGTCTGGGGTGAATCTCCCCTGGAGGACCGTATGTAACGTGGGTAGTGGTGGCCCATGAGGGCCGCGTATAGAGGTATGTCTGAAGGACCTGAGGTATTTAGTTGAACAACGTCTCTGGTTTACTATAGGGATATATGTCAGAGATTCGTTGAGAGCCTGTGACTGGACTCCTAGGTGCGAATAGAGAGAGGCTCATGGGTGACAGAGAGCCAAACAAAGCAACAGTAGTATGTAATGGCCCGAGTGAGGGTCCGGAACTGATTCGTCGTGGATTGCCCGCGGAGGGCCATTTGTACCAAGTGAGGGTCACGTATAAGGCTTTCTGGAGGACCTGACGCTTGTTTGTAACGACGACTCTATGTGAACGACAGAGATTCCTTAAACCTGCAACTGAACTTAGAAATGCCGAGAGAGAAGGACGTGCAAAGAATTTAGTGGGTCCAAGGGGGCCCTGGATGTATGTGATAGCCCGTATAAGGGGCCGTTCTATTGTCGTAGAGAAAAGCCCACCGTGGGCCGTATGTTACGTAGGCCGTGATTACCTATTGATTGCTGCGTATAGAAGTATTCCCGAAGGAGCTGAAGCCAGTATTCAACCCATGTCTTAACTTTAATGTCGGGAAGGAAGATAAGATATGCAAGAATTGCCTGTGACTGTACACATAATTGTAGTGTGGAGAGGGTCGTATGAGGACTTGAGTGAGTCTAATGATGCTGCTGTCGTATGTTACTGCCCAAGTGAGGGGCCGTAATAGCGTCATAATGATAGCCTGCGGAGGGCCGTATGTAACGTATGTAGTGATGGCCTGACAAAGCTGCGCATGGTGGTATTACTGAAAGCTAAGTGCCAAAATGTAGAGATTATGCCTTGTGTGATTGCCCCTACAAGGATTTGTAAAGTGGGTGTGTTGGCTATCATGCAGAGGTTGATTGGAACATGTGGTGGGAGGTCGTGAGTAATGGTTGCCACAATATAGTAGAGTGGCATGTGATACTCATGGCTGAAATTGACTTTGACCGGCTGTGTGACATGCCGTAATAGATTTTTATTTTTGTGCGTGTCTACGGTCAGTTGAGCATCTGAGATTGTGGGAGCTGTAAAAAGGCCTGGGAACAGCGGGTGGACAGTATAAGATCCCTGGTAAATGTGCTGGACTCTCAGAGGCAGTGGGTGTAGACATAATGGAATTGTATGCTGTAATGCTAGCCGCCTGTGTGCTGAGGGCAGGCTACTTTGTAAACTGATACGACTTGCGACAAATTGGTACGTGGATTGATAGGTGACCTGGTTGCCCATGACATAATGTAACAGCTTAATGGGGGGGATGGACAGACGCACGAAAACAGAGGATTTGGTCCCTCTGTAATGCCTCAGGCGTAGTCCACAGTGTAGGAGCGGCTGTGTAACTGGTTGGTGTATCCTGAACATGGTATGCTAGAGCCGTGTATAATGCCTGGGAAGCCGTATGGCTTCCATATGCCACGTCTAATTGAAGGGGAAGAGAGTAGGATGTGGCGGTAAGCGCCCTGATGGCCATATGAAGAGTAAGTCATGAAGGCCTAGGGAGGGCAAGCCCTTAGTAATACTTGGGAGCTTAGGTGGCCGCGTATTGGTAGTATCTGTCTAATTGGATGTATATTAAAATAGAGAGTGGGTTCAGTGTTGACTGTACGGATGTGTGGCTCCAGCCGCATACGCCCGTTCAAGTAAGCAGAATAGTATATGAACATGATGCACCAAGGAGGGGCTGAAGTATGTGTTAGTAGGCTACCATCTGGGTATCGTGTGGATAGTGTAAGCGTGAATACGGGACGATTGAATATTAGGTGAGATATTAAGGGGGTCGAGAGATTGCAGAGTAACCAGTTGCGTTGCTCCATAATCACCTAGTGTACTATCCGGCGAGCATGAAAGAATGCACTTGTTAATGTAGGACTGTATATCGTACGCACCCACGTGCAACCAGAATCACACAAAGTCGAGGATCCAAAGCCAGATGTGCAAATAGTGGTCAAATGTGAGTGTGAACCCAACGGCCCCACTGTGCGTATTCGGAAAGCACTAGCCTAGTAACGTTGCAATAACCAAGCGATACGCATTTGTGGGAGGATAGTTAATGCGATGTGTAGGAAAGGGGGTTAACATATACCTATGTGAGGCCACAGAATATGCTAATGAGGTAACAAAGTAAATTAAGGAACTTGCTGTGTGGATACAAGGTCACTGTAGGTTTGACTGAACCCGACTAATAAATAGCAACCAAATAGCAAACCAAGGGAGAGGATCATGCGATGTACGACAAATGAAAAGGCTGTCATACCCGGCTGACCTGCATTACCAAATGACAAAATACAGGCGTTAGTGTACCACTGATCCTGCCCTGGAACTTGATTTTCATACTACCTGAATTGCTAAGTTTGCTAAGACGTATGTAAAGATATAGCAAAGGAATACAGATATGTGGATAGAGTGACTGTTTAACAGAGGCTAAGAGTGACCATGCCCCGTGGCGGCATGTGCTGCCCTTAATTTGACCACCTATTGTATATTTATATGGCAGCGTTGCAACTAAGACTATGAACCACTGTAACACAGGATTAAACTAATATCTGACGTAATGTTCTTTGCCGTAATGTGCTTAGATAAAGAACGATTTAATTAAGTATAGACATTGTGTGCGTCTATTATCTGCCCCTACCAGAGTACCACCCGCTCAATGAGGCCTGGGATGGCTGATAGTGGTGAGCCTGGTGGTACCTGCTTGCTCCTGCCCCTCTGCCATTGCAAAGAGGCAGGCGGAGCTGGAGCTGTAGACCGTGCATAGCAGGCAGCATGGACCGGCGTCGTCTATGGAGAGGGCTTGCTCCGTGAAACTCCTCCCCCTGTGAGTCATTGGTGTGTCGGCTGAAGCTTGCCGGTCAGGGTCCCCTCCGGGGGGGAGGGGGGGGGCAGGGATTACCACGGGAAAACTTGTTGGGTTGTGTGGGTTTACTTCATGGCACAGATGGAGTACCGGAGCAACCGTCTGAATACCGTCTGGTGGTGATGAGGGGACGAAGCAGCCCCTCTAGTAGGGGATATTGCGGACCTCCGTGGTGAGTTTGTGGGAGGTCTGAGCTACGCGCTGCAATTATGTAACCGGCCGTCTGGGACCACGGTAGTCGGGTGGTCGGGTTAAATTGCTGGTATGCTACAGACTGTGTACCATTGCACACCGTCTGTTGACTCACTGTTTGAGCGGGCAACCACTGTTTCTTGGCCAGTGTCTAGGCTGCTGGGTTGTCGGGCTGACTTGCTGTGAAGATGCTGCACGCTGGAACCTGGAAGTACTTCCAGGAGTACATCTGGAACCAATTAGTCTGGATCGGTGTCGGCCCGGAGTGGAGGTAAGTCTGGGTATAAATAGGCCGGTAAAACCCCTCCCACAACTACAGGCTCCGCCTTAACATGAGCCTTGCACACAGGCTCAAAGTGTAAAATCCGGGTGCTTGCAGTTTGGGGGAAATTCAGATATCCAAATAGTAAAGATGACCAGCACTCACAGTTTTCTTGAAGATTAAAAGTTGTAGATTTTATTAATACATGTTAAAAATAACAGCTCAACGTGAGAAAACCGTGAGTGCTGGTCATCTTTACTATTTGGATACATATATATATATATATATATATATATATATAAAAGCATTTAATATATTGCTTCCTAATTTGGTATTTTGGTATTCTTAATAAAGGCAATTCCACATAATAACAAATTACAAAGCTAAAGATATATATAGACTATATATATATATATATATATATATATATATATATATATATACACAAAGATGCTCTTGGCACTCACCCATTAACTGAAGTTTTCCTTTATATCTTTGCCTGGGTGCAGACCTCAGCGTAAGTGTATATATATTCATCGAAGAAAGGTGCACTCACAGGTCTTCATCCATAAGTAGTTTTATTCTTAGATGTACATTACATGTGTAATCAAATCCTCAATCATCGTTTCGACCCCTAAAGGGTCTTTTTCAAGATCAATGTACCAGTGAAATAAACATGCATATATAGGTAGGTAAATGGAGTAATCACTTACCCAACAAGTGTGTGGGAACGAGCTCCCACCCGACCATCACATATATATGTGTGTGTATATATATATATATATATATATATATATATATATATATATATATAAAGATAAAAGCTTAAGGTATATATAGACAATTACTTAGACTGGAATCCTTATGTGGGATTTCCATATAAGGATACCAAATTAGAGGCCTATCTATTAAACTCCTGAAGGATACAGAAACACACATACTGACACAGATATACATACACACCAGAGCATTATTAAGTTTCCGCAGGGCCCTAGACAGTGTGCCAGATTGGCTCCCCCTCCTAGAGTCCTGCACTCTGTTTATGTGAGTGATGTGTGTGTGGTGGTCGAGTGTTGTGTGTGAGAGCTCTATGGGGGCTGAATGTGTCTGTATATGATGGTTGAGAGTTGTGTGTTTAGGGGAGTCTGACTAGTGTGTGTCTATGCCCCCCTTCCTGCTTACCTTTCCTTGTGGTCCAGTGGGGGAAGTTTGTGATCTGCACCAATATCGGGTGGAGATCACTTTAAGAGTGGCCTCATGGTTTTGGCACTCTGAGTGATCAAGAAATACCATGAGACCACAAGAGTAACCCTAAAGTGGTTTGTATCAAATATTGGTACAGACCACAATGCTCCCTCTGTGAACTGAAGGAACATAGGGCTGTGCAAGGATATCCTTTGATATCCTTACTGGCTCAAAAAAGAACCAATCAGAGCCACAGCTCCAGTCACCTAGACTCTACTGACACAGATACAGATGCACAAACTGACACACACAATTTACATTTTTTTTTTTTTTTGCTGCTCTCTGCTTTCATACATTTTGAGTTTAGGAGAGTGGCTTCCATGGAGTCCAGTGAGATCTAATTGTTGTCTGGTGGAGGAATGAGTATGGGGCAGAGTCTTCTCCCTCCTCTCTGTGCCTCCTCTTTCATTTTCTATGTAGCGCTCTGTAAGCGAGATGAATGGACCTGAACTCATTTCATTCCAGCACTGTCGATCTAAAGGGGAGCAGCAGCCCTTTAAGAGCTCAATGTAAATTTAGTAGACCACTTTTTGCTCTCTCTCTAAAACAATATTTGCCTCATTTACCTTGGGATGATTTGTCCATTATCACCCTCCTCCCCCCACATAATAACCTAGGGAAGGGGGCATCCCCTCCCCCCAGCTCTCATGCATGTATCTCATAGTGCCAGCTAAATTGTTAAAACTGCTGATATCACAAACTGCAATATAAACCCTCCATAACACTTTAATAGACGGAGGTGAAATGTTGCTGAATAATACGGGCATTGTTATATATCCTTTGAAATAATGCAAGTATAGATATAATGCTTAATTACCACATATGGAAAGCCACTGTGGGTCATCACATCTTTCCAACTAACTATCCTCCCCTTTTAGGAGTTTCTGTATTTATCATACTGTTTGTCTCCATTTTCGCTTGATTTCTCGCGTAGGTTTTTAGTGCATAGAAACAGGATGATAGAACAGTTTTTTCATTACAGAGGGTTATGGGTTCTTGACTAAATTACATATGATGTGTGTTTATTTCATTACAAATATATGAGTTCAAGTTTTATTTATTAACACTGACTATATTACAAATATATTATGGAATTACATTACTCTCAAGGCAAACTTATTAGCATATCATTACCATTTGATATTCAGAAAATAACTTGGTTAATTACTTCTAAATAATATTCTGTTTGCTATGAATAATGGCCAATAAAACAATCACCCCAATACAGTTAATGTATAACCTTAATGTAGCAGCAACATCTGTTAAATTTGTGAGCTAGAACATGTAATATATAGTACAAGATTTTTCACTCAATTAGCATTATCTCCGCCACATTATTCTACAGTTTCACAACTTTTTGCAACTAAATTAGGGGGATCATTTTATATCGAGGGTTTCTTGAATACTTGTTATTTTTATTTCTGTTTATACCAACATAATTAATTTTCACTGTCCATTACCATATATTTCTGGATCTTCTTTCATTATAACGCCCCGATGTGTCTTCAACTTATTTTAATTTATTATTTCATGTTTGTTTTTCTACATATTTTTATTTCTAGTGCAGACAAACATAAAAATTGTAAAAAATCTCCTTGGTATAGCTTATTATTGCCTTTCTGACTCAATTCTCAACCTGCACATCAAAATCTCAGAAAGCATGCGATAAATGATATTCAAGTGCAGAAAAGTTTAATTACTTCTAATATCATCCCTTATCACTGTATGCAGATATTCCCAACAGATATTATATTATTTTGTTCCTTAATTTACACATTGGCTGT